ATCACTCCTTGACTGTGAATACCAGTCCTGTAGAAGTCCCAAAGTCATTGTCTTAGTGTGCTTAGACTGCCTAACAAATACCATAGACTGGGTGACTTAAACCACAGGAACTTATTTCTCACAGTTCTTGAAACTGGGAAGTCCAAGATCAAGTTGCCAGCCAATTTGGCTTCTGGTGAGGGCTCACTTCCTGGCTTGCAGACAGCTGCCTTCTTGCTGTAGCCTCACATGGCTGTCTGGTGAGAGACAAGAAGCAAACTCTGTAGTGTTTCTTCTTATAAAGGGCACTAATCCCTATCATGAGGGCCCCACCCTCATGACTTTAACCCAAATTACTTTCCAAAGGCCCCATCTCCAAATGCCATCATATTGGAGGGTTCAGGACTTAAACATGAATTTTGGAGGGTGCAAACATTCAGTCCATTACAGTCATTCATTTATACATGTATTCAGTTTTTTAATGTTTTCTGTTACATTAAGCAAGGTGCTTTGCAACTACTTGGCTTGATAGTGCAAAATCTACCTGGAAATGGTTTTAACCCAAAGGAGAAAAGCACCTGCTGGAGTTGAACACGCAGTGGACTGATACGAGGAATAGCTGAGGATTAGATGAAGGCCTTTCATCCTTTTAGCTAACCAAGCCATGTTTGTTAGTCTCACAGCTACGTTTTTCAGGTGTGCTGAGAACAAATCCTTCTCCTAGATCCCTGTACTTGAGCCTGGGAGGAGAAATAGCGGAATGGAATGTGGTACTATAGTTTGCCTTTTGATATACAGTCTGCAGTATGTGCCTGAAGGTGGAATGTTTTCCACTGTCTCGCAAATGTCAAATTTTACTTATCAGTGAATTGCCTAAGAAGAAATATAACTTGGTGCAAGCACCCTGTTTCCATTTGGCAAAAATGCTCAGACATTGATGAATTTCTAGGTTTTGTTGCAAAGAGGAGTGAGTGAAACTTGACAGGCAAACTGCCCCTACCCTGATGAATGGTCATCATTGAGGGATTTGGTTCCAGAGGTGTGTGTATGGCGCACACATGGGAAGGTGGCCATCTGACTGCACAGCCTTTCATTCCTCCTCCTTCCCTTGGCACTGCTTCTCCAACCTACAGAATACCCATCCAAACCTGCTCTGTGACATACAAAATCATTGTTCTACACCATTCTTGATAATTGGATCAAAACTTACCTGTCCCGTGCTCCATGGACAAAATTCTAGAGCCTTGTGGTCAGAAGGGAGCTCAAAGTTATATACCCTTCTCTTACAGAGCATGAATACCTAGCATCCTGCTGAGTGGCCGTTTTTTCCCCTATACTTAAACACCTCCAAGTAAAAAGGAACTTGTTACCTCCACTTTGGGCTTCTGTGACTATCACAAATTTCACCTTTGTATTGACTCAAACAGTGTCCCCCAGTATCTTCTGTTCTCTGGTTTTGGACTACCCTTAAGGAGTAGACTGAAAAACACAAATCTTCTACAAGAAAGCCTTTCTGATATTTGAAGGCAATCTGGCAATCTAGTTTACCTATCAAAGAAAGAAATACTATTAGCATGATATTGTTCATTCTGGCTGTCTTTTTGCAATCACTCATTTCTGAGCAATCATAAGCCATGCGTGTAATTTTTCATTTCAGACTCTTGGATTGATGTCCAGTTGACTTCTAACACTTTTCTTCTCATGTAAAATCAGAAGTGTCTTAACAAGTAACTAAACTAACATGAATTGTGATGTTAGTAGCCCAAGTCTTTAATTGAATTTTGTCGATGCTGGATATAGGGGTAGCAAGCATGGTGAGAAGTTCATTTTTTAGTGTGATCTCACAGTAGGGTGTTCAGAGTTTCCTTTTGTGTAGATTGCAAAGGAATTTGATCCCTGCCTACCTTGGTGAGTATAGCTTCAGCCTCTGCATGCACATGGAAACACAGAGGTAGTCATGGACCTAGGGAATCTCTGTTCACAGTCCACTTTGAAAAGGTGATGTTTTTCACTCAAGTCAGTCAGTGCCTTGCTCCAGGGTGAATTGACAAAGATGAGGCACAGGGTGGACACAGGTGTGATGGTGGGGGAGACAAAGACTTGAACACCTCAAGTTAGAGGTACCTGTGGAACTCCTTGTGAAATGATCCATCTCAAAGTTGTAAATACCAGACTAACCTTGGCTATAGACTCTAGGTTGATTGCGTGGCTGCAGTGCAAAAATGAAACAGTATTGACTTACAGTTAAGAGAGGCTTTGGAATCAAACTTGGATTTAGAACATGCCTCTACATGTACTAGCTCTGTGATACTGAATAAACTCTTTAATTTTTCTAAGCCTCAGTTTCCTAATCTACAACATGGGGATAGCAATCCTACCTATCTGTGGGGTTATTGTGAGAATTGAATTCACGTGGCTTGTTTATCCCAATGTCTGGTATCAGTTAATGCTCCATATACATGATCAATTATAAAAAAGAAAAGTAACCCAGGGAAGAAACTTGAACAGTGAATCCATTTAAGAGATGGACAGATTCAATAAGGTGATAGTTGAATAAATTATGGTATGCCCCTGTGGAATATTATGCGATTATTGCAAGGAAAAATGAGTTATATCTACATTTATTGGCCTGGGTGGTTTGTCCCTGATAAATAAGTGAAGGGGGAAAAAAAGTTAAAGAGTGGTGTGTATACTCATTTTAGTCTCTTTTTTTTGTTGTTGTTAAAAGAAAAAATTAGCAAAAGCCATCTATATATAGATATGTGCAAAGGGAAAGTTATAGAAGACCAGAAACAAAATAGCTGAGGATGGGGTGAACAGTTATTAATTTTTCATTATGTATCTTTTTATTGTATCACTGTAGTAAGAATGTATTACTTTTGTGATTTTTTTAGAACAAATTTTAAAAAGAAATAAGCAAAAGGATTGGGGGTGGACAGAGGCAGAGGGGAAGTCAGTAAGGTGTAAGAGGGAATTCTGATGTAAGAGGTGTTATAATAGGGTGTTGCAGAACGGAAACCCAGCAGAGTCACACTTTTTCTCTCATTTGTCATGATGCGATTAGGGCAGGGCATCCTGAGCTCTGCCTTTCTTACTCTTTTCATTGGATAGCCCTCAATTTCTGACACAAGGCATAGCAATAGTTCTTATTTTTTCTCTTCATTTCTAGCAACTGAGCCAATACTTATCTGGGGGAATACATTGGGAGAGTTAAGTGATATGAAGATGGGCATAAACGTGATATTGTTTATTGACTAAAGAGCAATATCAATGTAATTTAATTAAATGAGTTAATCCGTACATATGATAACAAAGGGAATATTTAGCTATTCTAAAAGGATTACAGTAAAAGCTAAATCCAATCTCCCAATTCCTCTTTCTCAAGGCAACCAGTTATCCATTTCTTGTATGTCCTTCCAGAAATGGTTTATGCTTACACAAGCTCTGTGTTTGAATATGTTTCCTACTGAAAAACAAGTGATGTTATAGGATGCCCTTGAAGAACAGAGGTTTTTCCTAAGCCTTTCGAAAGACCAGCTCTGAACTCCTCTAAAAAATTAGCAGTTGCGCCATCTTTTCTTTTCTGAGAAGGGTCTGTGAGTGAGGATTCAAACCTGCAAAGAATTCGCCCCTTGTTGGAGAAACTGTGCAGGTTTGTTCAGATCATGTAACAGCCTTGTAAAAGTTTCTTGCAGTTACATAGCTACAACGAGAAATTTATTTCCAACCCTACACGTAGAGCGGTTGCATCAGTCTTATTTATAACTGGAGTGAGGAGCAGCAGCACATACGTCCACCCGGGTTAGATGGGGCCTGCTTTCATGCAAAAGTGCCTCGCTCCTTCCCAAGGGCTTCTCAAACCCCTTTCTCTGCAAGACACGGGCGCGAACCCTGTCAAGGGGGGTGGGGGGACATCATAAGGGAGCTCCTTTCCTTTGGGAACAAGAGGAATGTGTGCAAGTGTCCAAATTTCACAAATTATGCAAGAGGCGGTATTAAATCTTAGTTTAATCCAAGCGATGAAAAAGCTTGCCCCTCCCAAGTTCATGTAGGAAGGATTTTTTAATACTCTTTTGACAAAGAAATGGAACCATGAGCAATAGGGGAAGGCAGGTGACAGTGAATCACAGAATTCACCCTTTAGAAGAACAGGTCTTGTCATCCTGAACCCTTCCTGAGATACTTGTGGTGCGGGGAGGAAGACCTGCTTTTTGTTTTTGTTTTTGTTCATTTGTTTTAACACCTATACGAGAGGATGGAATTGAGAAAAATACACTGTGGCAGTGAAATTAAGTTACAACTCAATTTACAGCTGAGGAGGGAAATTTGGACAAAGCCAACCTATAACCTGAGTACGGTCAGGCTGGCTGCTTTACGGGCACACTGAGGAAGGAGATACAGTTTTGGCCTAAAGAACACTGAAGTTTTGTTTTCTCAGACAGGTTCAAACCTGTCAGAGGCGGTAACTGAGTTTCCTTATGACTGACTTATATGTGTGGTGGTGATGTGTTTTTTTTTGTTGTTGTTTTTTTTCCCGTAAGAATCTGGTTGAGTGACTCAGAACGTTAAAAAATAAAAAAGACATGAATGAGAAAAGTTAGCCAAGGTCTGCCACAGATGCCAGGAAGGTACACACAGACGGGAAGACTCTGTGAGGTCTTTGTCTCCCCCCATGCAAATACTAAGCCGTGATCAGCGGAGCTTGAGTGCGGTATCTGTTCAGATGCCATTTAAGAAATAGGACTCTGTTCTCTGGAGCTATTCCTTGGGGTTTTAGAATGTAAAATATGAAGTGTGTGTAATCACAGTTCCCAGTATTTCTTGGCATTTCAGCTTTGGCAGCAAGAATGGGAAAAACTGAAGCTTTTATGGCCGGCCAGGCTGAGTTTATTCTTTGTACCGAAGGAAGTGGAAACGTTAGAAAACACTTTCCCTCTGAAGTCCGCCCGAGGGGCTGCTGTGCGTTGTTGAATTTGCTGCAGCTACTGTATATTTTTTAATTCTGTTTTCATCAAACGAAAGAGGTAGGTAGCATTGAAGGCTTGCCCTACAGAGCACACCCAGGATATGTAATCCAGGAAGGGTGGCCCGTGTCACACTTGTTGTTTAAGGAGTTAACTCTAGCACTGACAACTTACCAGAGAAGCTCAAGATACTGTGCTTTCTAAGAATTAATTCTCAAGATAAAAACTCATCAAAGAGTTTAAGATGAGGATTCAGTAAAGAACAAGCGCTTTCAATAAAAGAAGAATTTCAAGAAATGGCTTTAACTTTGAGTAGGCTTAGATTAACTTCCACAGTGAGGAGATAGGTCAGCCACCATTGTCTTACTGTTCCCAGAGAAGTCCCAACCTCCTCCTGGGATTCCCCTTAATAGCATCCTCTCTCACTCGCAGAGCCCCCTTTTGGACCGCACATGGCACAGTCACCCTAGGAACAGACGTCTGCATTCTACAACTCTTTTTTCTGTGAGATGGCAGAACCAAAGGAAGGATATTTTTACAAACTGAGAGAGGTCCCCTCCTATACGGGGAATTCTCCCAGCATTTCCCTTTCATGGACTCTTCTCCCCTAGTCCATGAATTGGAAATTTAGTTACCAAACATTTTTAAATATTTTTCTTCAGTTATGTGTCACTGAAAGAAATATGTTTCTTCAGTATGTGTCAATGTGTCAAAGACACATTGGGGAAAATTGCCTTTCCCTTGAGTCCCATGATACTTGAATGTATTTACGTGAGATATAAATTTGTCTGTATTCATAAGTTTGTGGGTCCACATTCACCTATTTAGCCATGTGTCCATTTAGTCATTTATTTATTCATGCAACAAATATTCACTGAGATCTACTTTATGCCTTAGGATAACACAGTGACCAAGATAGGCTAAGACTCCTTCTATAGGTAGCATGTATTCTAGTGTAAACATATTAAGAAATAAAAGTAATTACCTGTTACGAAAATTATATAGAAGGAAATAAGTGAGGTTTTTATTTTTACTCCATAGAGCTAAAGGGAAGGGGAGAGAGGGAGAGAGAGAGAGAGACAGAGACAGAGACAGAGACAGACTGACTGACTGAGATACTGCTCTCTTTCCTTTCATTGTTGATCGTCTAAAGTATTTTACCTGGGATCTCAAACTTAAATGCCTCAGAACGGGGACCAGTGAGGACATTCCAATTGCACAGTTCTAACTGAATAGAACTCACATGTCTCTACAGCCAAAGTTCAATTTAAAGAAGAAGGACTGGAGCCCAAGGCCAGACCAGTATGAAGGGTCTGTTCTCCATTTGGCCCTGGTCACTAATTCACTGCCTCCAAGGCACTGGGTGGCCGTTAGCTCAACCAGCGTCCATCAGACCTGGTTTCGTTTTCCATTTCAGTAAGTCCCCTTGTGGGTGTCTCAGAGAAAATGAGGGTAATGTTAGAATTGTATAACCACAATGAACTTTCCGCCTCACTTTGGAAATATTGAACTATCCCTCTGCCGTTGGGATGACTGCTCAAGGAATTTCGCTGGAAAATCTGAGTGCTAGGAGAAATGTCAGGGATATCATCTTTCATCATGGAATTTCTACACATGGCTGTGGTATTCCTGTGAGTCAGCAGGAGGAATTTCACCACACGGCAGCCTCGGGCCTCAAATCAGTGGGCCTGTGGCAGTGTCCCAGCCCCACCTGGGCAGTAAGCGGTGTCACTGTTCATGCTGGCCTTGGACTCCTTTGAGCATGCATTGCTGACCCTCCCAAGCCAAGTTCGAACTCCCTGAGTTTTTGGATGGGCTCTCTCTGGAAAGCTCATCTTCGATGTCTGTCCCTTGCTGACCCCCCAGAAAGTTTCTCTTAAAGAGTGCTAAGAGTGAGCCTTCTAGAGGACCAGTTGCTATCCTTACCTGAGATTTCCAGGAAGGATGGGAAACGCTATCAGCCACCTGCCCAGCAGCTCCCTGGTCTCAGACTGAGAAAGAAAAGGAAAAAAAAAACCCTAAAAAGGGGAACCTGTTTGCCTCTTCTTCCCTTTGGCCACACAGTGACTCTTCCTGAATACACATTTAATGAAATAGTTTGGCCCTAATAGAATAAGAGACTTCCTACAGGCAGTGGCCAGCCATGAAATGGCTTATAAGGCATTGGTGTTTTTTGATGGAATTACCCAGACTCTGTTTTCTTTGAAGGTGAATCTATATGCATAAGCCCTAAATTTCCCTGTTCCCTTTCGTCCCCAGCCTTTAGCACAGCAGTTGACAAAGGACATGCTTTCTAATAACTACTGTATTTTTTTTGTTTCCAACAAACCACATACATCAAAATGTTGATGAGATCTGAGTTGATGAAAGTGAGAGTACTAGCAGCTGGCAAGTATTTGGGTCATTAGTTTTAAGGAACTTGCCTGTTTCTGAAGCATTAGAAAGAGGGAGCAGACACAGATGTGAGAATCAAGGCAGTACAGAGGTTGGACTTTTGCTCTTCTCTAACCAGCAACAGAGGACTTTTTTCCTCCCTAGGCATGGTGAATAGAGGGTGGCTGTGTTAATGATATTATTAAGGCCATCTTAGTGACAATGAAATGGAAACAGAAGCCTAGCTAGCCAGGAAAATGTAAAGCCAGCTGGATTTGAGGGCTCTTCCCTTTTTCATGTGCTAGTCAGCCCTCTGCAAGAGGAAGATATAGAGAGAACAGAGGTATATACAGGCACCCACATTTTCCACTGTGTCAGAAAAGCAAAATCAGTCCACCCCTCCCAGTTTCCATCTTGGTAGATTTTTGCTTCTGGTCATTCCTTTCCCAGGAACTGGGGAATCTGGTCTCAGATAAATGTGGGTTTGACTATCCCAGTAAAGATGAAAAATGCAGGTCAGGTGGTTGAGTTTATCTTGCAAATGAAGCCCTGTATTGTAAATGGTCTTTCTTTGCTGGATTTGTCATCTCTGTAACTATATCTGGAAGAGGAGCTGAGGACACGATTCCAGTCAGTCAGAATGTATAGTCAAGTTTTTTGTCATTTTCTCAAGACAGTGCGATGAACTAGATTGGTAAGCATCTCGTTTTTCATCGCTTCATTCCTATCCACCACCTCATCTCCCCAAGAGCATTATTCTGAGTAATGTTCAGATTCCTGTAATGCATTATTCGCATGGGTGGTGGGGCTGGGCTAATCCAGGGTCTGGAATGCTGAGCAGAGGCAGAAGGGGACTGCAGAAAGAGGCCCCAAACCCTGCCAACCTTCCTTCAAGATGCAGAGCCTCAGCACACCCTGCCAGAGCTTGTGGTTTCTAGGAGTTGCATTTGATGTGGCTGTGAGTTATGGCATAAATGTGTGTTTGTTTTAATGGACTTTTCTGGTTTGGAAAGTGCCCTTCACACTGCCCGCCATAACTGCAGTGCACTCATTTGCCCTGTGTGGCTGGTGCTTTGAAGCATGCAGGCTCAGAGCAGACCACTGTTAAGGCATCCGTGGCCTTTCTTTGCCCATGAAGGAGACATCTCTGCCATTCGGTTACTCACCAGCACCTGCTTTGTACTCGGGTTTGGCTCTGAAGACCAAAAGATAAATAAATCCTTGAGGATCCTTCCCCTCAAGAATTTAGTCTGTTGGGGGCTCCAATCAAATAAATAAATGGACAGTTTCAGACGTGGTCCCATAAATGGTCAAAGTAAAACGTGAGCAGTGTAATGAGAGCACAGAAAAGGAAGCTCTGAATTCTGATGGACATGGTCAGCTGAGGCTTTGAGAAGAGATGGCATTTGAGTCATAGGTTTTCAGTTAACAGGCCCGGTAGATAGAACAATAGGGACAGAAGCATGGAGGCAGGAAAGTGTCCCATGCTGGGGAGTTGTGAGAGCTCCGTGGGACTGGAGGACAGAAGCAGGGGTAGGTGGCAGTCAAAGTAGGGTGAGGTGAGAACATGGAAGGTTTTAAATGCCTAGCTGGGAAGTTTGGCTTTATGTGTCTATCAATAGAAGCCATCAAAGTTTTTGAGGAAGAGACTTAACAGGAAATAATGTAGTGTGTTAAATGGAGTACAGAGGAGCATTCATTTCTAACTTCTCCTGCGGGTCTGGATCTCTGGAAAGGGGTGTCAGGGTAGAGATTTTGATTTGGGAACCATCTGCCCAGGGTAATATTTGAATCCATGAAATTTAACTGCACAGGTAGAGAACCAAGTAGAGCACCTGCAGGGCTGGGCAGAACGTACTGAACAATTCTGGAGAGTAGCACTTCAGCATAGTCACTGAAGATTTATATAATGACCAGGAATTTTCTAGGAGTCAGTGATAACATGTCTTGAGAAAGGGCGCTTTTTTCTAATTTGCACAAAGGCGCCATATGGTCTAGCAGTAGTGCTGGAAATAAACCTAGGCAGGGGCCAAGCACAGAGTCTTAGGGAGCCGCCTACCCTTGGAGGGAAGGTGGGGGAGGAGGAGCCCACAAAGGAGACACTTAGCAGTGGTTAGAAACTTAAGTAGGATTGTGCTTAGTTGTCCTGGAATTTACCTGAAAATATAGTCATCACTCGGTGAGCTCTCATCTTAACTTTGAAATGTTTAATGACTCAGAGCTGCTGCTAATAATATCCATCAGTTCTCCCTTTTCACATAATCCAGTGGGTTTTTCTTGATCTCAGCAGATGGGACAGCTAACTGCCTCCATTTGACCAGGGTGTAGAATTATCAAACCTGCGGCTCTGTTCCTGAGAGCTAGCGCTGTGCGAGTGAGCATTGTCCAGGGCAGAGAACTGCTTCTTCCAGAGTGGCCACTCCAGGGCCTGCCCGGTGGGCTCCTAGGAGGACAGACCATGTTCAGTGTCCTCAGGAAAGGGCACTCCCTCAGGCTACCCACCCCCGTCACATTTAGCTCCACCCGCCAGGAGTCAGGAGTTGCTGGGGCAACATCCAACCCAGAACAGGCAGAACCTCTTGGATGGCCCTGAGTCCTAACCTCTGAGGACCTGGCAGGTCAGAGGAAGCTTCTTACCTCCTGAGCTGCACAAGAAAGAAAAGACATCCCCACAGGAATGGCTTGGAGGCTGTCTCGGCTCCTTTGTGGCACAAACTACAAAGCTCACAACCTCCCCGACCTGTGCCAACAGGATGGTGTAAATATTTCTTGCAGAAGAGAAAGCATGTGGCTGGCCTTGGCCCGTGGGTCTCTGCCCACACAGACTTGTCACTGCTGCCTCCTGGCACTTGTGACCTCATTTGCATCAGTGGAAAGTTACAGGAGAGAGCACCACCTTCCTGGCCAGGAATGTATCACATAACCCAGATCAAAAATTCCAAGTTCACATCTTTGTCAATGGGAGACAGGCTTTATAGGCAGATAAAACATTGTTTGCAACAGCCATAAAACCCAGAGCGAAGCTGGGGTTTATCTGAGTGGGCGGAACTCAATTATTTGTACGTTGCCTAGATTAATCAGTCAAAAATGTTCTGTTTTCAAAATAATTCACTTTTTTTTCAGATCCTAAAATTTGGTAATTGTTTTTTTTTGGGTTTTTTTTTTTTATCAGCTGATTCTCTGCATCTTAATTTGAGAAATAGAGTCCTGTTTCCAACGGGGAAAAGATCACTTGTTCTTCCTCTGGGGCTTGCTTGTTGTTTTCCTAACAGTAAATCAGCTGAGGCCCCCTGGCTCCATGCCTCACAAGCACTTGGAAAGCTCCCGGGATGATTTCATTTACTGTGCCCTGTACATGGACCGGTGATCGCGTCACCCCTTTTTAAAGAAGGGACTCGAAAGCAGAGAGGAGAGAGAACTTTTCCACGGCTTCAGAGGGAAAATCTAGGAGTAGAACCAAGAAGTTGAGGTTCAGGGAATGTGTTTCCAAACTGCCTTCTCTAGAACTGACCAGTTCCCGGTGAAATTTTCAATTTATCAGCTTTCAAAAAGAAATTAGTTCCATATGATGGGAATCATGTTCTTTAGGTTGGGCTTCAAGGATTTTCTCAGCTTTTCAGTTGTTTCTTCTGTAATATTCCATCCCTTCTGGCTTTGGAGTTTTCCATGAAATGCCTTGTTTAAAAAATCAAATGAGCTTTTCAACTTGATCAAGGACTTCAGGAATCTCATTATTTCCTTGCTTCCTGGACTGACCTTTCAATTTTCTGCAAGATGTACAGGGGTGATTTGTCTTGTCTGGCTATAATACCACACTGTTGTAAGGATACTTAATCACCAGGCACACATATTAGTCACCATTTGTTGAACCTACAAGCCCAGCTTTCTTGTATAGTAACTCTAGGACCAGATTGAGAGCTAGAGAAGAAAAAATGCAACTGGATGGGTGGCATAAAGAACTCACAACCAGATGCGGAAAGCAGTTCTCATCATTTCTTCCTCATTTCCTCAGCACCCATTATGTACAGAACTCCAAGTAGGCATTGAAGGGAGATGCACAGGCCAGAAGGATTTTACACTCAAGGGGTATATGGATAAGGGGGACGCAACCAGATTTTAGGGTAAGAAACGGAAGGGGGTTTGTGCAATTCAGTCAACACTTAACTGCCCACGTGGCCCTGTGCCAGACACCCTTTTCTGTGTTAGAGAGCTGAAATAAGCATGAGGAAGGCCTGCAGGGAAACCAACAATCACAGTCACTACAACAGATGCTATAGTTAGAAGTATGCGCCAAAACCCATCAGAGCATGGAGGAGAGGCACCCAGCTTGTCCCAGGAAGGGGCACGAAAGCTTCTGAGACAGAGAGGCTTTGGTGAGGCTGAAGTTGTCGGCCCAGGCGAGAGGAAGGAAACAGGTGCTGGCCAGAGCTCCTGACACTATCTGTGGCCGCAAGCCAGTGGGTATTTTTCCTTTTTCAATCCATTTAGGACCAATACTTTTATAAGATGTAATAAAAATAAGTTACTAGAAAAATGAAATTTAAAAAAGACATAAAATAAAAGCCCCAATTTTTATTAGATTCAGCAGACATAAAATTACTGTCAAGTCGTTATAAAAGTTTCTAAACCTGCTCTCAATTTTTTTCTCCTTGCTTCATTGCTACTTACTTCACTGCAAGCCAGGAGGCAGTTTGCAGGTGAGCACCAGTCCGAGGCCCACACTTTGAGTAGCACTGTTCTAGGCACAGGAAAGCACACACGAGAGCCGAGAGGTCCACGGGGGAGCATGGTGCCCATCTGGGGACCTGAAGCAGGCGGAGAGCTGGGGGGAAGGAAATAGGGCTGGAGGGGCAGGCAGAGGCCCCATAATGGAGTATTATGGGTGCTGAAGCCAGATGGGAGCCTCTGAAAGGTTCAAACATTCAAGAATTGAATTTCAGAAAAACAACTGGGCCAGCATGGAGAATGGAAGAGAAAAAGTTGGCGAGATGAGTTAGGAAATTCAGTGATCCAACTGGGACTCGAAGGAGCTTCACAGAGGCCCTGGTAATGTGGTGGAGAGAAGGCATCTGATTCTGAATGTAATCAGGAGGATACTTGTCAGGTCTTAGAGAGTGACTGGGTGTGAGAAGTGGGGAGGGGATAGAATCCTCGTCATTTCACAGAGGAGGAAACTGAGGCCCAGCAAGGTGTCAGCGCTGAGGCTAGAAGCTCTGTTTTTAGGGTCAGGACAAGTATTCTTGCCCCGTGACCGACCATGTGATGCACCAGATAAAACCAAGATTCCAACTTGTCCACCCAACCCCCTGTGCTGCCTCTGAAGACAGGGAAGGACGTGTGTCTGTCAGAAGGTTCCAGGCGCACTGGGGTTCCAGCCTGCACACTTACACTCGGACACTCCTCCACCCCCACTGCCCAGCTGCTCTCAGCCAGCACGCCTGACCCCCTGTGCTCTCTGCTCATGGTCACTGTCTTAATGACAGAAGCCACTCCAAGGCTCACTGTGTCCCAGAGTAGCCAGTTAAATTCATGTAAATCCTGTTTAGGCAGTTGACGGAATTGTTAATATTCGTCTCTTACAGGAACAAAGGTTGCTCTCAACTCTAAGCTAAGTATGAACAAGCGGTCACCAAGCAGGGCAACTTTTCCTTCCTGGTGTCTCTTGGAATTGGCTTGGTTCTAGACTGGTCTTGAAGGATTAATGTCTGGAGTGCAGTGGACTTGAGAGTGTGTTCAGAGCCACAGAGTTTCCTGGTGTGCTCTGCTAGGGCTAGGTCATCCCCAAGAAAGAACCCCAGCAGGCAATGGCGGCTTCATGTTGACTCCAGATGTCCCAGAGGGGTGCCAGGGTCCCACACCAGATCCCCTTAGCTTCCTAAGAGTACCCCATGTCTTTCCTAATGCAGCCTCACTGGGGCCTCAGAACAAAAACAACACCAGGTGGGCTTGCTGTTTGAATTAACAGCCATTTGTTAGGGGCCCACTATGTGCAAAGCACTGTGTTAGGCCCCAAAGGGAACACAAAAATATAAAGATGTAAAAATGAAAACAGGGAAGCACCTCTCCTCGTGCAGATCACAGTTTAGCTGGGAAAATAAGAATCATAAAGTAACAGCAGCCGGGGCCAGGATTTGGGAAATCATACTCCACCTGCCCCTTTCTTTGAATACCCATGACATTTGATGGCTTCCTGGGATAAAGGAAGGTGAACACCAGTGCAGAAATTGATTGAAATTCTCAAATATAAGCATGGACCTGGAGTTGACTGCTCATTTGGGAAAACACACGACAAAAAATATTAACAGGTTTGGATATATCGAAAAGATACCTTCATTTATCACAGTATTGTTTATAACAGTGAAAAATTTGAAATAAAATTGCCCAAAAATGGAGGATCCTGATTTTATCGTATCACTGAATGTGTGAGATACCCACTACTGGGTTTATGTCCTAAATAATTAGGCAGGACAGGGTGAGAAAACAAGGACTGGCCGTCCCAGTTGTTTTATTTGAGTGTATTGTGAGGTGCAGATACCGTGTCACATCTTGAGACTTCTGTTTTATTTCTGGAAAATTTCCATTGTCCAGAATGGACATACATTTCTCCAACCAAAGTGGTGTGATAGATAGCAACAGGATGTAGTGCCTTCGCTCATCCTCTTTCAGTTTTTTTTCCTGAAAAGCGTGGGTCACCTGTGGTGAACTGCCTGGCATTTGACAGGTCAGGATGGAACTGGATAAACCTCAACTTCAATCAACCTTTTCTCATTGTACTGAGCAGGGCTGTTGATAGAGGTCTTAATTCCTATATCTTAATGCAGAATTTACTCGTAGTAAAAATAAGTGACAGGGACAAAGATGGTGTGGCTTGATGGAGCTTAACAAGTTCTGGAGACATTTTGCTCAGTGCTGGTGCCAGCCTGTGGCACTGTATGACCAACCTGCATTGGACTCCTGGCCCTATTTCCATCAGAGCAATGTATAAGCCAGATGTGTCACTTCATAATATTGGGTTGTCGGAAAAGTCATGATGTATTTTTTCTGTGTTTTTTGTTGCAAAAATGCGTCATGACTTTTCCAACAACCCAATATAATAGACCAACCTACCCCAAACCCAAGGGCTTACAATAGTTATTTACAACTTACCACGTTCCTATGGGCACGCTCTCAGTTTTGATTCTTATAAAAACCTTAAGCAATTGGCCATGCGGGTATTACCTGTTTTTTGCTGATGAGGAAATAATAGCTAAAGCTTCTACAGCATTTAATGCGTTCCAGGTAGTGTTTTAAGCAATTCGTATTAAATAACTCTGAATTCCCATGAAGCAACATCTATTATTATCTGCATTTCATGATGAGGAGACAGACACACAGTGGTTAAGATCACACAGCTAGTAAACAACAGGGCCAAGATTTAAACCCAAGCAGCCTGGCTCTAGAGTCTGTGCACTTAACCTCACATTACACTACCTCTTGGAAACAGACAGACATCAGTTGGTTGAATGACCTCCCCAGGGTCACATGGGGATGGAGGAAGGAAGCAGACGGAGGAAGACAAATGGGTGCTACACTGCTCTGTAAGAACATAGTTGAGAATTTGCCCTTGGCCTCTATCTGTCTCTGTGTGTGAGGACTCCATTCTTGGCCATGACTCCAGATTTGCTCTGTCTCTAGAATTGGTCAGCTTGGATTTGTTACCAGATGAGACCATTAGTGTGGACTCTGGAAATATAAGGTATGCCCCACTGTATGAAACCTTATGTTTGCACAAGGTCTTTAATTGCCTCTGTAGTGTACGTATGAACATATGTTGTGGCATAGGTTACTTATGTCGTGAAATCCAGAGTTAGTGACTATTTAGATTAAAGCCTATCACCTTGTGACTGTAATGTTTTTACAGAGAAACTGAGGTGCTGGGAAAATTAACCAAACTAAAATAGCCATTATTTACTGGATCAAGATTAGTCCAGCACTTAGGCACACGAAGAATGTTAGTCTCTCCAAAAAGGCGTGTTCATCTGCTACTTTCCCTTACGAGTTTGGCGATACCTTCTAAACTAAAAACA